AAGGCAACTCCTTTCAACGACGATTGACTGTTCGACCTAGGCTAATACACATTACACGGCAAGCATTGTTTACGTTTTTTTTACGAGGAACAACTAAAAAACCAGGACTGGAAGCACACAAGGGCGGACGACGCACGTCAGCGTGCGACTAAACGAGCAAGATACGATGAGCACAACCCACGGCTTACAATTAGATAAGCTCTTATCAAAAGTCAAAAATGAGGGGATTTACACACTCATTTCGAAGGAGTGTTGTGACTTGTAAGAGAGTATAAAAAGACAGGTATTTCGATGCATAGCCAGCAATGACACTTTTAAAGAGGGGAAAAACGTTCCCCAATACTCAATACTGCACGCATTAAAATTCAAAATTACCGCCCTCCAAACACCCATATTCTGAGCTCTGATGATCCAAAAGTAACTACTGAAATATTAAAGCTATTTAAACAAGTAAAGCTCAAAATGTAAGGTAATTTCCTGGTATCCGACGTGAAAAACCTAGTTGCTGATCGTCGTAATTAATTAACTAACTAACTATAAGAGCCGCCCGCTGCAACCAATAGAATCTCTAGATTTGCCCCTTGGTCTTCTTTGTCTATCTCTTTGTCCATCGCTTTGTCCATCAATTTAAATAATCAGCCCGCTACATTATCCACAACTGACAATGACTAATCGGACCGTGTTAAGCAGAAAGGAATCAAGCCACATTAGGTATTGCCAAATTTAAGTGGGCAAATCAATTTTTTTTGACATAAAAACGGTTGTGCGAATTTGTGTGCTAATTTCAGTGAATTTTCTCCATAGTACGAAGCAAATTCCTTACCATTTTCAAAGGAGCCCGCACAAATGTCCTGTTGTAGAAAATTAAAATGTCCAGTTAAATTTGACATTGGCTGATGTGGCTTGGTTCCTTTCTGCTAAACGCGGTCCAAATGTCCAGCATCTTCCAAGTCCGAACTATCAACCTGGCCTCGCTACAGGACTACTTTTCGCGCAATTAAACCTATGGCTTGGATAACAGTTTTAATGATGTGCGTCAACCCTATTCTCTGGATATCATTCCATTATCGCTCAAGGCGGAATATAACACAGAAATCATCGATAAAAGAGAGGTGCAGGTGCCTCCAGCCAGAGCCGATGCGCATTCAATTTATTGTTTTCGGTGCGATTACGTGTATAACGTAATGATCTCCATCGCGAGCGAGGAGCAATGATTCAGCGACGCACAGTAGAACGAGCTAGTAAGAGGTCGGACATGGAATTTATGGCTAAAATTTCAAATTTTTATGTTTATTACGGCACAAATTCAATTTCAAGGGGGGTTTCTGAAAGGGAATTTCACAAAAAACCCAATAAAACCACTATTGAACGTTTGTGTTTCATGGTTTCGAAAATATAAGCTTTCAAAGAAGGAGAATGGAGATGAAGGATGTGGTCGGAGCACGTTGACCGAACGGATGAAGAGGGACTAAAATTTCACAAAAAAACCCAATGAAACCACTCTTGAACGTTTGTGTTTCATGGTTTCGAAAATATAAGCTTTCAAAGAAGGAGAATGGAGATGAAGGATGTGGTCGGAGCACGTTGACCGAACGGATGAATAGAGACTAAAATTTCACAAAAAAAACCCAATGAAACCACTCTTGAACGTTTGTGTTTCATGGTTTCGAAAATATAAGCTTTCAAAGAAGGAGAATGGAGATGAAGGATGTGGTCGGAGCACGTTGACCGAACGGATGAAGAGAGACTAAAATTTCACAAAAAAAACCCAATGAAACCACTCTTGAACGTTTGTGTTTCATGGTTTCGAAAATATAAGCTTTCAAAGAAGGAGAATGGAGATGAAGGATGTGGTCGGAGCACGTTGACCGAACGGATGAAGAGAGGCTAGCGAAAATTTGTATGACCGGACAACCCTCTAAGAGATAAGCACAAAGCTGGCTCTCTTCTCCCTGAGGATGATCGAAGATTTTACGCTGTTTCTATTGATTTGACGAGTCCTCTATTTTTACTGATTTTCAGATATTTAGATTATTAATACTTATATATAGTTTATTGAACTCGATACTGGATGGCCTGACACACAGGGCTATGCCCTAGTCGTTTTTGGAAGAAGAATAAGAAGAAGAAGAATAAGAAGAATAAGAATAAGAAGAAGAAGAAGAAGAAGAAGAAGAAGAAGAAGAAGAAGAAGAAGAAGCGCGAGAAAGTGCCCGAGATAATTGGTGTAGAGAATGACATCGTGCACGATATCAGGTCCAAGCAGTTATCCTGGTATGGACACGTGCGAAGGACGGCAGACGTTCGGTTGCCCAAGCAGGTTTTCGATTGGGTTCTTCCCAGAGGGCGACGGCGTGGACGTCCTGTGAAAGGTTGGCGACAAGGGGTGGAGGAGGAGATCAGATGGTGCTGATTGCCTGATGATCTCTAAGAGGATAGGGGGCAATGGCGATTGGGCGTCGCAGAGCGCGAGGCTGCGCTATAAAAGCGGCTTTATGTATGTAGAAGAAGAAGAAGAAGAAGAAGAAGAAGAAGAAGAGGAGGAGGAGGAAGAAGAAGAGGAAGAAGAGGAAGAAGAGGAAGAGGAAGAGGAAGAGGAAGAGGAAGAAGTAGAAGTAGAAGAGGAAGAAGAAGCTTTCAAAGTTTCCAGATCATGTCCGACTTCACCTATTGACTCGATCCACCGAGCGACGGAGATGCGGAGGCACCATCGGTAGCAATCATGGATCCAGGGTATCGAATGGCGCACTCACTCCAATTAGGACGGCCCCATTGCCCATTGCCCATTGTCAATCTCAAGGTCTGGCCGACCCGCATGACCGCGGGCACGCGACGAGCGACGACCGACGCGTCTCGTCCGTTTTTTGTGCGCCTCGACGCAGGACCTCCGATTCGGATTCGGGAGGGCAAAAAATCCACCGGCACCGACGCGACGAACACGGTTTTCGGAGCGTGGCGTGGTTCGCCATCGAGTTCGTCCGCCAACACCCCAATTCGCGAAACGAGCGTTAAGGCCATGGAAATCAACTGAGGACGGCTAGGACCTGTGCAAGGGACATCGCGCAGTGGATAGATTCGATGGGAGAGGTCGGAAAACATTTTAAAACTTTAAACGCTCACTGGAAAAAAAAAAAAAAAAAAAACACATTGGATCTAGAGTCCAGACTCTTAAAAACATCGACAAGAAAAAATACTCTTGATTCAATCAGATTTGAGCTTAAATCAAGAACTAAACCTCTTAATTTGAGCGGATTTCCTTTTGATTCAAGCAAAAATCTGATTGAATCAAGAGTATTTTTTCTTGTCAATGTTCTCAAGAGTCTGGACTCTAGATCCAATGTGTTTTTTTTTCCAGTGCTTATAACTCCGATTATAAAAACTTTGAGGTTCTAAACCTGGTTCCATTGGTTTTCTCGTGAAATTTTCTTTTAAAGGCATTCCTTTAAATTTAAAATGTGGCGAAATAAAAATCAAAATTTGTAGTTTTAGTCAACAATATCATTCCGACTTCCCTGATTGACTCGATCCACTGTGCGTCGTCATCGTCATTTGACCCTCAAAGCTCGGCTGTTTTGGACCTGCGGGCTGATTATTGAAATTAGTAGACGAGCCCTATTAAAAAATTGTCTCATAACGGCCCAAAAGCTTCCAATGGGTATCCGAGGGGATTTCATGGGGATCCATGGGGATTTCCTGGGGACCGGACATATTGAAACACTTGGAGTGGAGCGGTACATATCGTCACCTTCCAGGCAAAGTATCACAAGCGCCATGCGACGTTTAAAAATTTCCGCCGCCATTTTATTTCTTTACTGAGAAATTGTTGGTTGAATCTGTTTGGAAATTTCACTAAATTTTATCGGCAGCACAAAGAAAATTCAGTGACATTTTCGGACAGCTTCGTTGAACAATTTCTCTTTAAAAATATAAAATGGCGGCGGAAATTTTTAAACGTCGCATGGCGCTTGTGATACTTTGCCTGGAAGGTGACGATATGTGGATCCTTACGGGGTGAATGAAGAGACCAACAAGAACCCATGGGCCATTCAGAGTGACCTAAGGGAACCCTCGGGGTTCCCAGCGGGAACTTGCTCCTTGATTGAATATCGACGCGGTGAAACTACCAAACCACGTATCTCGGTTTGCGACGTCGCAGACTTCCTGTCATACTTTATTTTTTAAATGAAAAACTACTTAACGTCCAGTCATGAAAATTTCTGTGATTTTTCTTCTTCGCGCGGAGAAAATTCTGTGAAAATTTCAAGGAATGATATTGATTTGGTCTACTTCAAAAAAATAAAATACGAGCGTAGATTTTTAAACACCGCAAACGAGATACGTGGTTTGGTAGTTTCACCGTCGATATGTATTCCCATGAGAACCTGGGCCAATTCCCTATTCACCATCGATATGTTTCAGGTCCAATCAACATGGTGTTTCACGTTGTGAGTTTATACCTCTCGTACATTTAAAAAATGATAACTAATGTAAAAGAGACAGGAGGGAGAGAGAGCAAGGCAAAGGGAGGGGAGAAGAGAAGGAAGAATATAAAGTTCCAAGTATAAAATAAGACATTTGTTTTCGAACGTTTTCGGGGATTATCGCGGATTCCAATGGAAACTTGAAGTTCGTTGAAGTTTGACGGTTCAACTTACCGGCACGGATAAATGAAAATGCAATTTAAATTCTCGAAAAGTTGTACTTTTTTCCGTGGCAGGAAATTGAAAAGGTGAAATTAGATTTTAAAATTGAGCTAGACTACAAAAATGACTGAGTCTTAATTTTTCAAAATACACACTTAGAAAAACAAAACAAAAATCAACTTACTAAAACTGGAGAACTCATCATACATGTCGAATACGACGGAGGTATGACTGAAAGGGGGTAAATTTGACAAAAGAGAGAGATATTAAAAAGACGGGGTAAAGAAAGCGAGTTGACACCCACCCCAGTGATACACGGTGACCGATCTGTTCTTCATAGACGGGTTATGCTCAACGCCCAACCGGTAAAGAGGCGTGAATTCTACGGGGCGAAATACTTTAACTCAAATGAGAAAGCACCGAAACTTGGCCCATCGAAGTCCTCATGAACTCAGCACTGGCTTTCGTAAAAATAGACAGAATAGTACTCAACGGCAACTCTCACAATCAGTTTGGGAAATTTAAATTTGAAAACGACCGTGAATTGATTTCAGATAACCGCCATGAATCGCGAAACACGAAGATAAAAAAATGACAGAAATCCTTCCGGCACGACAGGGGTTGAGAACACTAACTGAGAGGAAAATGACACAAATGTTAGGCTAGTATGGGAAGTGAAACACAAAGTAGCCCCAGCTTTTGCTGGATCCTGAGTTTCCTAGTTTTTCCATTGCTTTCTGTGCTAAATGAGCCACTAACCGGGCCTTAAAACACCACGTTTTATGTTTCCTCTTTTAATTTTGCGTAAAAGGCGATACGCGACGGGAACTTTGAAAATCAACTTCTTGGCCGATATCAACATGTAACTACACTTAACATTTACCAGGTGGAACACAGACTAAATATGTCATTTTCATTCTTAACATTTAACGAATGTTAATTTTGAGCACTAATATTCTCTCGAAGTATGGATTTTGAACTTTCTATTGTATGAGTTATTTTTGGACCGCATAAACCTAATCAAGCCACATCAACTATTGCCTTTAATTGGGCAATTTTTAACATAAACACGGTTGTGCAGACTTTTGGGCAAACTTCAGTGAATTTTCTGCATAGTACGAAGTATATTCCTTAAAATTGTCAAAATAATCCGCACAGACGTTCTCCTGTAAAAAATTGAGTTACCTAGTTAGATTATTGGCAATAACTGTTGTGGCTTGGTTCCTTTCTGCTAAACTTGGTCCATCTTACGTATAAAATTTTAAGAGGAGACATAAAACAGGTTCTTAGTTCGTACCTCATTCAACACAAACTGAGTCGAAATAAACACAAAAATTCGGTTTAAATTGTGTTTCACTCCCTAAATTAACCAAAACTAACACAAGAACACAAAAATTCTTTTGAGTGTATGATTCGGTCGGGCGTTTGGGCGGAACTCGCGAGGTGCAAAGTGGCGACACTCGGCGTAAACTGGAGCTTCGGCGAGGGGATGAGGTGTCGGACACGGGGTTGAAACGAAGGCAGACGGAGTCGTTGCATCTTTTGCGGGCTGCATAACTGCACTTGCCCGGATTCCCAAATCCCCACGTCATCGTAATCGTGATCGTCACATGTCTGACACCAGCAGAGTCTGCGACATTGTCAGCTGAGACGATGAGGTTATGACCTGATTGCCACCAACGGCACCCCCGTTGCCAAACCATGACGACACGTCATCGGGGTTGATTGCGAGTTACGTCAACTGGACGTCAATAAGCAGTACAGATGTATCAAAAGTGGAAGTTTTGAAAAGCTATACCTATGAGGGCTACAGTAGGAGTTGTATCATACGTTAAATAGGGGCGGCACGCGTAAGAGATGATTTTTTCCTTATCAATAAATTGAAGGCGATGAACGTTCAGTGCTGTAAAACAAGCTTCTGGGTGATCGAAAGGCGGCGATTCGCCTTCAGCAGGTCGGATATGCAAAAATAGATCCTAACGCGTCGATGTAATCGCCTCTTGGCAGATTTGGCTGCAAGTTTTGAAATCTCGTAAATCTTTGAGACCGAATTCAAAATTGACCCCCCCCCCTTCCATTAGCTCACCGTTACCAGGATATGAACAACGAAAAACTAAAAGAGGGCCAAAATGCCTCCACTTCATTGAAGTTTCATGAGGAAATTTTCACTAAATTTTGGTATCAAGAATTGCAATTCTCAGGTCTTTGAGTCCCTGATAATTAAAGGAGATAGTTGCCTAATCTTGGCAACACCTGATGGCGCTTGGTTGAGTTAGGTAAGAGGAAAATTTTTTTTCGGATATTCTGCGCGAGATAATCTATTTCTGGGCTGGAAAATTTCAAACTAGGGATCTGTTTTTTCTCCTCTCTCCTCCTCCTCTCTTTCCCTCCTTCTTTGATCCTCTTCACTTTTACACCAATTAAGAACTGATCTAATTTCAAATAGTTTGCTTCGAAACAACAACAAAAATCAAGTTTTTACGAAGACACTGTTGCCGAACCGACTGTGATTTTAGTGTGTGCGGGTACAGCTGCCTTATCCGCACGATCAAAATAAAATCGTACGGCCAAAATAAAATCTTCGAAATAACAGATGCATCTGATTGTTGACTGTTGATTTGGTAAGTTAAAGGTCTCTCAGGAGCCCTGGCTCGCCTTAGGCTATCTCTAATACCAGAATTGGGTCTTCACTTCAAACTTGAGTAATCTTTATGGTCGAAACCGATTCAGGTGTGAGTCGATCGTAAATCCGTTCCTTTCGTGAGTCCAATAAAACTAAATTCGGTTTTTAGTTTTCTACGTGCCTCGTTGAACATATATAGCATTGCTACTGAATTGGCCCTCATTTAGGACTGATCTGTTTTTGTTGACCCTGGCTCGAATTAACGACTGCTCCAACCACAAGTTTTTTTTTTGGTAGCTTGATGGCAAAGTAATGTCGACGATTCTTCACCTACTCCATTCCGATTTAAATATCGTAAACTAAATACGCAATAAACATATTTGCTCACAAGTGATTCAAGTTTTAGCGTTTTCTCTAAAGTTTGTAAAAAATTCTCAGCAAAAAGCTGGCAGGATTATACCTTTTTGAAGGGATATGGAAGATTTTCCATGAATCTTACTCTTTCATGAGTGTAACACATAACACCCGAGGCGCGAAGCGCTCCAACGGGTTTGACTGCAAAGCGGTCGGGAGGCGTACCCCTTAATAATGAAAAAAATAAAAAAAGCGTGACCTTGCGTTAAATTATAGGAACACAATGGGGCTACCCCCTAAAAGCTATGCGGCTCAACCCCCCGAGGGTGCTTGTTAATCTAGATAGAGTTGGCTCATTTCGGGACTGCATCAGTGGCGTGGCGTGAATGATCGATTATCGATATCTCGCCATTTGAAGCTATGGTAAAGAATCGATTACTAAGGTGTTCGCTGCGAACGATCTTTTTTCATAGGTTTGAGTGGCGTATCGATCGATATATCGCAAAGCACGCCACGCCACTGGACTGCATTCTATCGCAGCCAAAAGCAATTTTCCAAACTGTGGAAGGTGGTAAGATATACACAATTAATAATATGTCTTCAAAATAATGAATTGAAGAAATCAATAATAATGATACGCTACGAAAGGAAGAAAACATTTAAATAAAGAGTGGTTCACGGAGAAAAATATGCACAGCATTATCGAGGGAGTCAATAATAATGATACTTTATCATGAGAAAGAAAATAACTCTTATCATTTTATTTGGAGAAGATTTGCTCGAACAATTACCCTACGATTTTTGCTGTGAACGTAGAACACGATTTATACAATGTAAATTATTAAAAGTAACCACTAACTAAGATACTACGTTTTCCGATGCAGTTCAAAATCCCTGCTTACGGGAAAAACTCAAGTCAAACGGATACCGAACGTTAAGCAAACGGATCAGCTCTTGCACGTTGTTTAAACTTTGGCGCTTCGAACTACACAAGACGGGAAACTGGGAAACGCGACGACTGAGACGCGCACTGCGCTCGGTGACATACGCGCAATGCTTGAAGTATCCATGCAGTCTTGCAGGCACTGACAGCGCGCGCTGCGCACTGTGGAGTACGCGCAATGCGTGAAGTATTCGTGCAGTCTTGCAGGCGCTAACGGCGCAGTGTTTAGTGCGATCATTCAAACTCTAGTAGCGTTTTTCAACTTGTGATTTTAAAGCTTGTGGCACAGGTACACTCTGAATGGATCATTTGTCATTGATTTTGATAAAAAATTAAGAAACTACACAAAGTCCAACTAATTTTCTTCTCTTTATTTGCAACTGGTAATCGTCGGCCAGAAGCGGAAGAACCAGGAGGGGAAATGAAGGGGGGGGGTTGACAGATTGAGTAGGCGCAAAATGANGGGGGTTATGAAACTCTCATCATTTTCTATAGAGAGCCTCACTCCCGTGATAAATGAAAACAAACACGAGAAAATGAGTAAACCTTTGTTTACTCATTTTCTGGTATCAACTCTCTTTTCAACCAAAACAGTAAAACAGTAAAAATAAAAGTAAAATGAAAACAAAATTCCTAAATCCTCTGTTGTTGAAAAAAAATGAGAGGACCAAGACCCAAGTTGAGTACATTGATCCGATCAAAAAGCAAAGAAACAAACAAAACCTGACATAACATAATCTGACTTAAAAATCGATATTCCAGCCCTTTGGACGGTTTTCGATTCCGTATGTATAACTGGTTAGTTGAGGGGTTGGAGGACAAGGCGCATAAGTACAGTTTTTGCAATTTCGAGAAAAATGTGTTTGAAGTTTTGAAATAACATGGATCCTCATGGCAGGAAGAAAGTTCAAACTGCCTTTTCGATGCTTAAAAGTTGGAATTTGGGAGCGAATCTTTCACAGAAAATGCACTAAGATTAGTTTTACTTGAAATCATTAATACCTCAATTTTTCCACCCTCAGTTGATTCCCATAAGACCAATGCTAAACACGATCAACATACTAGGTATTGACGCATGCTTCGAGACGGACTTGAAGAACATTTCCACGCTCCTGGTGCTTTTTCTTCGTGGGCCGTTCATTTTTTGCAAGCGATTTGACAACGAAGGGGCGGTAATGGGTGAATGTGAGTAGTGAGTGACCTTGGCAACCACAGCGGATTCCAATATTTCGCAAAATTTTAATCTTTCATCAGTGAGCGTCAGTTGTAGTGGCACAGCGCGGCGCACAAGGGATTGGGTCAATGTGAGAGGTTGGACAAAATTTGGTATCTTTGAAAGCTCATAACTCCTTTAAACAAAACTTTGAGTTTCTAGAAGTGGTTCAATGGAGATGTTGCATGTGTGAGGAATTTGCGATTTGACTGTTGATTCTTATAAAAGTTCGTGAGAAATACGATAAGGCCACTGCTTTTCTCTGAAATCAACTCCCAAGCTCAAAAAAAGCTAAAAAGCTAAAATAGAGGGGATATCCCACCCTACCCTGAGAGTCCACGTCTACATCAAGAGAAACTCTCCATGCAAAGATAGGGAGCAAATACATTGATAGGGCTGCCACTTTATTTGGGGACTCTAAAATTGAAAACACGACATCACTGCTAATGTATTTGCTCCCCATCTTTGCATGGAGAGTTTGTTTTGATGTAGAGGTGGACGTAGGGTGGGACATCTTCTCCATTTTGGCCTCACTTTGAGAGCTTTTTTTAAGCTTAGGAGTTGATTTTAGAGAAAACCAGTGGCACCATCGTGTTTCTCGCAAGCTTTTACATAAGAACCAACAGTCAAATCGCAAATCCCTCACACATGCAACATCTCCATTGGCCTCCTCGTGAAATTTTCTTCCAGGGACACCCCTTAAAATTTAAAATGTGACGGAATAATCATCAAAATTTGCGGTTTTAGGTAACAAGCTCACGATTGACCTCTCTGATTGACTCGATCCACTGTGCGGCGGTCGCAGCGAGGAGCGAGGAGCCTCGAGCAAAAAGTGATTGTCCTCCTCAATTCGACGTTCCCCTGGCGTAAGGGCGTATCTTGATTTTCACATGAGCTCTAGAAAGCATGGGTTTATATGTGAATTAGGGCTCAAGTGGAAATCAAGATACGCCCTTACGTCAGAGGAGCGACAAATTGTCTGACTTTTACCTGATTACTGATGGAGGTACATACATACACCTCGCCGCGATCTTGCATTCAAAGCGCAGCTGTAATCGAATTGTTGATATTAGAAAGCGCGAGTTCTCGCATTTTTGCAACATAGTCAAAAACACTCATTTTTTTTTAACAGTTTCTCGGCTCAGGAAGCCTCGCCGAGCGTCGGGACCATACGCAATCGAGTCTATGCCTCGAACTTTACGAAAAATTTTACTCTAATTTCGAAAAAACTGTTTAATTTTCCCGCGAAATGGTTTGGGCCCAGCATTATTTCACCACCTTTTACCCTTAAAGAGAAGTATGCAATTCATTTCTGGAAGTCTCCTATACCAGACCGAATAGCAAATCCAATGTGAATCACCCATTTGCGATGCTCATCGTAACTTCAAATTCCACTCCGTTGACAAATCGGAACAACAGATATCTCCTCTTGAATCAATGTTGAAGCGCAAAAGAGTGTTTACAAATAATGAAAAAGCGAGAAGATTTGTTGATGCTTCGTGCGCATCCAAACAATAGAGTTTAATTGCACGGAGCTAATGTTTATGATCTCCGAGTCAAAGTTCGTCGCCTCC